GGCCCCAAAATTTGAGAATAATATATGAGAAATACTAGATACCACCAAACATCCAAACATCTGGATAATTGGTATCCCAGAAAGCAAAGAGATTTATAAAGGCATTGATAATCTTTTCCATGTAATCCTGCACAAAGACTTTCCAAACCTAGAGAGGCACTCAAAGATCCAGTCCCAAGAAATACAGAGGACTCCAAATAGAATCAACCCAAGAAGATCTTCTCCAAGATGCATTATAGCCAGATTGACCAAAACCACAGACAAAGACAAGATACTGAGATTGGCATGAGAGAAATGGCAAGTTACCTACAAAGGGTATCCCATCATACTAACAGCAGACCTCTCATCGGAAATTATGGGAGTGAGGAAAGAATGGGAAAATGTATTCAAAGTGTTAAGGAAAAGCAATTTCAACCAAGAATTCTGTACCCGGCAAGATTATCCTTCATATGGGAAGAAAACACAAGAACATTCTCAGATAAATAAAACCTGAAAGAATTTACCAGCACCAGACCAGATCTCCAAGAAGTCCTCATGTTTTTTATCAGAGAGTGCAGCTCTTTAATAAGTTCCTCTGTGTGGACAGAAGTCTGACTGTTTTTTCTTATTTTTCCAAAGTCCTTTCCAGAGGGCCTAGGGGAAGTCACGCCCACAAACATTAGCAGACCATTTTTTCCATTAACATGATTCTTCTACATCCTGTCCTTGGCATAGTATCTTTGAGATGTATATATCAACCAGTTACAGTATATTCATTTGCTTATCTCTTCCCAAGATACAGAACTTCCCTTTCCTTTATTTGTAGATCAATGAATCTCTCTGCCCAGGACACAGATCTTCCCTTCCAATCACCAACCTAAAAGTTGTGGAACCCACCTATGAGCTCCTCGCTTCCACATGTCCCGCCTTTTGGGGACAGACCAATGGAAATCTCTTCACTAATATTGTCTGTCACTCTCAAAATCAAGTAAAAGGAACCCTGTACCTGATCACCCCAAGAAAGGCATGTGTACCACCTCTCTGGGCCTAGGTAACTCATTCTGCTTGGAAATAAACCACATTAATTATTAATTTTTCAGAGTTGGTTATTTTCTGTCGACATTTGCATAGTCTGCAGGAGCTAACTGTAGTTTTAAAACTCTTGCTTCCTCACTGTCTACAAGAAGAAGATCATCATTATTAGTTATGACTTCTTCTTTGCAGCCCTAGAGCTGACCCAGCTGCTCCATGCTCCATTCCTCTAGCATGAGACACTTCTGAAATTCTTGTGATCTTTTTACTTTCTCTCTCTCTTTTTTTAAACATAGATTTTTTTCCCTTACGGTTGTGGACAGAAGTCTGACTGCTTTTCCTATTTTTCCAAAGTCCTTTTCAGAGGAGCTAGGGGAAGTCATGCCCACAGATGTTGACAGACCATTTTGGCCCATTAGTAACAGGATTCTTCCTACATCCTGCCCTTGACATAGTATTGGAGTATCTTTGTGACGTATATTAAGCCTCCTTATCACTGTTAAATTACATTCCTTTCTGATCTCAGCAACCTTCTATTAGGTTTGATCTGGGAGCAGTGGCAAAATCAGAGGCGGCAAAGGTGAAAATACCAGAGTCAGGCTTTGGGGTTTAATAAAACCAACATAATTTATTCTGCGCTCTCGGGTGAGGGCTCTCTGCCTTGGCCTGATCAGAGGCCGAGGGAGTCACACCCAGGGTGGATGCTGCTTGCTCTTAAAGGGCCATTGTCCAATAGGTGTTTGCCATGAGTCCTTGTCTGGTCAATGAAGTTCGCTGTTTCTGTTAAACTTTGGTGGGCACACCAAATGCTGAAGGGCAGGAAAGTCCATTGGTGATGGCACGCCAGATGCAGAAAGTGGGAAAGTTCCTGCCAGCAGGAAAGTTTCTGCCATGTTTCTTTTCCCTTCCCCCAGACCATGCAATAATGTGTTACATAAACACCCATGCTTATGCACGCCTCTAAAATCTGTGTCGTTTTGAGGTTTATTCCACCAAACAATGACTTTTTTCTTTCCTTTCCTTTCCTTTTTATTTTGGCTTCCGGATGCCCACTATAGTGGATGCATGTTCCCTGAGAAAGCATAAGACACAGGGTGTAAAAGCCAGGATTAGACATAGCAGTACGATGGGTCCTAGAAACAGGAGGATCCAGAGTAGCAAGGATTTTTTTTTTTAAGAGGTTCTTGCTACAGGGCACGTGCGCTCACCAGACAGGCAGAGAGAGACAGAGAGACAGAAAGTGAGAAATCACCCCCAAGGAGGGATGGCCAT